CCTTTGCACTGCTGGCTACCAAATTTACATATTCAGTCTTTGTTTTTTCCAGCTGTGCTTTATGGCTGGTAGGATCTTAGTTCCCCAGCCAGGGATCAAACTCAGGCCCTCAGCAGTGTAAGTCCAGCATCCTAGCCACTGGACTGCCAGGGAATTGCCTATACACCGAGTTTTGACCGTTCCCCTAATTGCCAAACTGTTTTCTATTCAGTTAGATGACAAATAGGCATCTCAAGCTTGACCTGGCCAAAACAGGTCTCCTGGTCTCCCCTCCCCAACATACCCACTGCAAACTGCTCCTCTCGCAATCTTTCTTGGTCTTCGGTACTAGCAACCACCCGTAGCTCAGGTCTCAAGCTGCAGCATCATCCTTCTGTCCTCCCTTTCCCCATGTCCAATCCATGAGCATATCCCATCGTCCCTATCTGTAATGCACACCCCAAATCAGACCTCATCTTACCACCTCCGTGTTACTCCCCTGGTTGTGGTCACCACCATCACTTACCTGGAGGACAGCAACAGCCTCCCCACAGCTCTCCCAGTTCCTTCTGAAGTTCCATGGGGAGAAGCCTTCTTGGCCTCTTCCAGCTTCTGGTGACTCCACGTGTTCCCTGGCTGGGAGCTACCTGACTCCAGTCTCTGCCTCTGTCTTCATATGACTTTCTTCTTTGTGTCTTCTCTTCCTGTTACAGTAGTCTCCTCTTATTGGTCTTTGCATTTAGGGCCCACCTGGACAATCCAAGACCATTTCATCTTGATATTCTTAATTTAATTATATCTGCAAAACCCTAAGGGCACATTTGCAGGTTCTAGGCGGACTTATCTTTTCAAGTGCTACCATTCAACTCACTGTGTGTGTGCTGTGTTTGGTCGCTCCATGGGCTGTAGCCCACTGGGCTCCTCTGTCCATGGGCTTCTCCAAGCAAGAATACTGGAGTGGGTTGCCATGCCCTCCTCCAGGGGATCTTCCTGATCTGGGGATCTAACCCACATCTCCTGCATTGCAGGCAGATTCTTTACCTGCTGAGCCACCAGGGAAGCCCATTCAACCCTGTATAGAGGTGAATATCAGAAAAAATAAAACAGGGAAGAAGTTTTATCGAGCTTACATTCAGTCCTCCAGTGAGTGATTGCTTTTCAAAGTATAGAAGACTCTTGGCTTGCACATACTTGCTATTTCAGCACTGACTGTTCATGCGTCACTTCAGAGGTCTTTCCCGAGGACTGAGCGTCTGCACTTGTGTTTGCTATAAGGCTCACGTGAGGCTGTGTGTCTCTAGCCTTGCTGCAGTCTCAAACCTACCAGATCATCTCTGCCCATTGCTGGGGGCATTACCACTGCTGTCAAGGGGCCAAAATTGTTTCCTCTTAAAAACAAATAGTCTCCCCAAGGAAAGCCAGCTGCTAGTGCTGATGATAAAAGGAAAAAGAAGGGATCCAAGAAAGTACTGGTTCTTACCCGGTGTGATGAGCAACCTCTAAAATGAATATCCCCCAATGACCCCGCCTTCTGGGTTTTGTTTTGTGTTTTTTTATATTTTTGGCTGCAGTGGGTCTTTGTTGCTGCATGCTGACTTTCTCTAGCTGTGGCAAGTGGGGGCTCCTCTTCGCTGAATTGCACAGAATTCTCACTGCCGTGGCTTCTCTTGTTGTAGAGCGCAGGCTCTAGAGTACTGGCTCAGTAGCTGTGGCACACAGGCTTAGTTGCTCCATAGTGTGTGGAATCTTCCTGGACCAGGGATCGAACCCATGTAGCCTGCACTGGCAGGCAGATTCTCGTCCACTGAACCACCAGGGAAGGCCCCGCCTTCTGGTTTTTATGACTTTGTGACATCCTCTCCTCTTGAGTGTGGGCTGGATCTAGTAACTTGCCTCTACTCAACAGAATATAGTAAAACTGACAGGATGTCATTTCTGAAATTACGTTACAAAAAGATTGTGGCTTCTGATCGCTCTCCTTTTTCACTTTCTAGCTTGCTTGTTCTGAGCGAAGCCAGCTGCCATGTCAAACAGCCCTGTGGAGAGGCCCACATGGCAAGGAGATAACACCTGCACCCAACAGCCTGTAAGAACCTGAGGTCCTCAGTCCAGCAGCCCTCCAGAAACTCAATTCTGCCGCTGACCTGGTGAACAAGCTTGGGAGCGGACCTTCTGAGGCCCACAGGCAGCCATACATGTGAGCTTGGGAGCAGACCCCCCCAGTTGAGCCTTCAGATGATTGCAGCTCATGCCAACACTTTGGGGTTTCGGGGCTGGGTTTTTTGTTTTCTTTTTCATTTGCTTGGGTTTTTGTTGTTGTTTGTGTGGACCATTTTTAAAGACTTTATTGAATTTGTTACAGTATTGCTTCTGTTTCATGTTTGTTTGTTTTTTTCTTTTTGGCCCCAAGGCATGTAGGATCTTAGGTCCCTGAACAGGGATGGAACTTGACCCTCCTGCATTGGGAGGTGAAGTCTTAACCACTGGGCCACCGGAGAAGTCCTTGGCCAACACTTTGACTGGAGCCTGTGAGAAATCCCGAGCCACCAAGCTGTGCCCAGATCCCCACTCTACGGGAATTTTAAGATGATAAATGTTTGTTGATTCAACCACTGGGTTTTGGAATAATTTGTTATGCAGCAATAGACACACCCAGATATAGATTTCTAGGATATAGTCAACCATGTGGAAGGCTTCTGCTACAGTGGTGGCTGTTTACAGTTTGGGGATTCACAGATATTAGCTCATATGCCTCAAGAATCTACAGCACCTCCTCCCACTCCTTTGATTCTGTTTATATTTTTAAACAAACATAATATAAAACTATAGTGACAGTTGCACATTCTATTTTTTCTGCTTGATATGTTGTAAGCATTTTCTCACCTCATTAAATATTCTTCAAAGCATTCTTTGTTCTTACCATCTCTTCTGGGGTATGAGTGTACCAACATTAATTAAGTCACTCCCCTCTCTTATTTTGAGCTTAAGGTAGGGTTTTACCTTCTTGGGTCACATCTATGGGCATGTTTCGGCCCCTCCATTCAGGGCCTACAGGGAAAGTTCCAGGAAGGTACAAAGCAGAATCACCTGTGGTTAAGTGCTCCTGAGTTACATCAAGCCTATACCATTTCCTAGCTATGTGACCTTTACACCCGTGGGCCTTGGTTTCCCCTTCCAAACAATAGGGTAATAATTATATCTACTTTCCAGAGTTATTAGAGGCATCAATGAGTTAACCCAAGTTACACAGAGAGTGCCTGACAAATTTTGTGTTATACAGACACAAGCCAGGCCACAGTATCCTCATCACCCCACGAGTCCTGGAGCACCACACATCATATAGACTCTTGTCCCAGACTCAAGCCAGCCTCCAACCAACAGTGTCTTGGCTTCCCTCCCGCCAGTCTGTTCTCCCTGAACCTGCTGGTGCCTCCCGCTCTGTAGCCATCCGCAATCCTGTGGCCATGACACCTCCTCTTACTGCATGACTCTGAGCAAGTCCATCCCATCTTAAGGCCTCAGTCTCCTCATCTGCAATATGGGAAGGGAGGTTGGATGAAGAGGTCCATGAGGGATTGCCCACCTAAGATTCTAGACCATGCTCTTTCCTTTCAAAGGTCTTTTGGTTTCAATAGTACAAAGTACAGTCAGAATTTTAAACAACTAACCAAAGAGAAAAGAATTGGAAAACACTTTATTTACCATAACATAGGTACCAAGTGCTCAGCATTTCCTGGAGTGTGTCCAATACTAGCCTAGTGTCTGCTTACATGTGTAAAACTGGGTGAAGGGCTGGAGTTTCTCATCTCTGTCCCCTTACAGTGTTTGTCTTGAATTTGAATGAGAACCCACCATCCCCCACTTCCACCCCCACCCCCAAGAAGGTGCTGCACCTGCGCTCCTATCTGGTCCCAGGCCCCTGCTCCATCAGGCCAAAGAGCAACAGGGGCATTGCTCAGAGGGGCTGGAGGGTAATGGGGTCTGTGGGCTGCACAGGGATGGGGGCGGCACCAAAGAAGATACAGGTCTCACTGCGTGCTAAGTGCTAAGTCATTCAGTCGTGTCCAACTCTTGCCACCCCGTGGACTGTAGCCTGGCAGGCTCCTCTATCCATGGGGATTCTCCAGGCAAGAATACTGGAGTGGGTTGCCATGCCCTCCTCCAGGGGATCTTCCCAACCTAGGGATGGAACCTATGTCTCTTACGTCTCCTGTCTTGGCAGGCAAGTTCTTTACCACTAGCACTACCTGGGAAGCAGGGAATCACAAAGTGAAAGATTCAAGTCCAGCACTTGCTTAAACCTAAGTTTGCACCTGGTCCTTCCCTCATTCTTTTCACCTGCCTTTTGTGCAGGACTTGAATGCTCTCAGAAGTCCACTCACCATGGCCCTGGGAGGAAGGGAGAGGTAGGGAGCTATTTGGGGATAGCTTGGTGAGCTGACCCTTCAGAATCTCCCCAAGGTCACCATGTGGCTGTGGACCCTCAGTATGTAGAAATCCCAGAGGGGACTGCTCCAGGCTTGTCCACAACTCCAACCCACAGGTTCAGCTCTTTAGCACTGAAAAAACTACTAGGAACAGAAAGGATTCTCTTCTGGGCTCCTGCATGGCCCTTCACCACCTGGGTTTGGACCCTAGACCAGCCCCAGTAAGGGCAAACTTTCAGAAACTACAGGGCTTTGTGGCCCTGCGAATCACAAAACAAAAGGGAGAGTCCCTCCCCGCTCCCAGCACTTAAACCTCTCATGCTGACTCTAGGTTTCTAGGACCCCAGCCCCTAGGGTGCCTGGGCCAGGATCCCACCAGGAGAAGGAGGAGCAGATTGTGATGTTTTGAGTCCCAAGAAAGGCTGTGTGACCTTGGACAAGTCACTTGGCTTCTCTGAGCCTCAGTGTCCTTTCCACTCCTAGTTAGCTGGTCAGCCAAGAAAAGCAGCCCCCAGCAGCAACAGAGGAGATGCCTGTGTGCTGAGGCTGCTTCCTGGGTCCAAGGAAGGGGCTAGCCCAGTTCTGGGGGCCGGATTAGAAGTGAACTTGAGCAGAAGCGAGCAGAGGGAAGTCCAGGAGGGGGTGGGGGCTGGGCCCTTGCCAATCTGCTGCTGAGGAAGCCGGCTTACGCTCCCTGTCCTGCAGAGACCCCAGCCCCGGAGCAGCCGAGGGGCTGTGGGGTGAGGACCCCGGCTTCCCCCTGGTAGGGTGCTCCAGCCTGAGGGACTCTAGAGGGGCGGCTTGGGCTGGGGGGCTGGGCAGGAGGGTGTTGAGCTTAGAGGAAGGTCTCAGTAGGCCAGAGCCAGCGGGTGAGGTGGACTGGGCAGGAGTTGCAGTGACCACAGCAGGACCAAGGGACAGTGAGGGCAGAGGGGACAGGAGGAGGCCAAGGGAGCCAGGAGGCTGCGGGTCTGGAGAGGGTTGCGGAGCCGAGGAAGAAGAGAGCGGGGTCCGGAACAGACCCAGCTGCTCCTGGCAGCCATGCTGTCCGTGGGGCCTGGGGCCTGGGGGCCGCTCGGCCTGGCCCCAGCAGCCAGCGGCCCCCGGAGCCAAGCAGGAGGCACAGTCCAGCGGGCACAAGCGCTCGTGCACGTGCAGGGTCTGACTCCACCAGGCCAGCTCGGCCTCAAGGGCCTGGATCTCCTTCCGCAGGGCGTGGTTCTGCTTCTCCAGTGACTCATGCTGCTGGGGGGAGAAGCAGAGATACGTGGGGAGGGTTATGTCAGCCAGAATCAGAGGCCCAGCTTGAGCCCTATTTCCCAATGCCCCAGGGTCCTCAATTTAGGAGGAAAGATACCGCTGCCACCCAAATGCCCTTTGGCTGCTCTCTGACCAGACATTCATGACCACCAGCTCAGACCTGCCTGCTCTCTCTCCCCAGTCCCAGGTCCCTGAGCCAGCCAGCCTGGAATCTCCGCTTACCCGGGAGCTCCACCAGCCTCCTAACTGGTGCGCCCTCAAACTACCTGATCTCTTGGCCCAGAGGAGACATTCAATGGCTGCAGTGCTAATGGACCATTCAGTTCAGTTCAGTTCAGTCGCTCAGTCGTGTCCAACTCTTTGCGACCCCATGAATCGCAGCACGCCAGGCCTCCCTGTCCATCACAAACTCCCGGAGTTCACTCAAACTCATGCCCATCGAGTTGGTGATGCCATCCAGCCATGGAACATGAAAGCCCTTTAAAGTCTCCCGTGACTCCCCATGTGTGGTGGCCCCAGCTCACACTTCCAGTTTTATCTCTCCAACTGCTCCCGATGCCCCCACTTCCTGTTCCTCAAATGGACTCTGCTTCCTCGCCACACTTCCAGCCTCCTCTGCCTGGACACTTTCAGCCCCGCTTCCTCAGTCTAATCCTGACCTGGCCTTCTTGTGACAACTTAGACGTCCTCTGTCCTGGACACTTCTAGGCTGTTCAGTGCCACTGCCAGACCTCCTCGACATCCAGAACTTGCCCACCGAAGTGGTGTGGGCGGAGTCCAGGTTTTACAGGTTGGCAGCACAGGTATGCTCTCTTTGGCATTTAGTTTCTGTTCTGCTGAGCACTGGGTGGGAACCCGGTAGGAGAGTAATCAATGTGAAGTTCTAAACAATCATTGATTAGTATGATGGCAACAGTGGTGGAAAACGCAGAAGGAACTTTATTTCCACAGCTCATCAGGCTCAGTGACTTCCTTTGAGCCCCTTGCCCTGCCTTTTCTGGATACTTTTTAAAAGAAGAAGCTGCAAGGGTGTTTTATATTAAAATATTGCTTAAGTCAGGGACTCAAAATTCTAACAGGTCTCAAAGCCACCCACAGCCCCACTCCCAAGCTGGTTTCTGCTGTGGAAGGTGGAAAGACATTTTAAAAACATGTCATTAGGTCACTCTTTACCTAAATTCTCCAAAGGCATCAACTCAAATTGGGTCACTCTTCATTCATTCATTCGTTTACCGCCCTCAGTTTGCTCAGCTGTCACCTCCTCCAGGAGGGCTTCCCTATTTAGGTTTCCATCACCCTGCATGCCCCACTCCCTTCCCTCTTCCCTGCTTTCATCCTTCTTAGAGCACTTATCCCCATCTGATATCCCAAATACCTCATGGGTCATTTATTTGTCTGTCCAGCTCCCCCATGAAAATATGAGCCCTGGGGAGGGTGAGTTGGACTTTTGTCTGCTGTGTTCACAGCTGCATCTCCAATGCTTAGAACCGTGCTTGGCGCACAAGAGATACTTAGTAGGCATTTCTGGAAAGAAGGAATAAATGAGCTTATTAAGTCTCAACTGCTTCCAGGCATGCCATCCTGGGCATCAGTCCTCATTCTCATGCACTGTACAGGGTGCTACTCACTTATGCTCATGTCAGCCCTATTTCATTTGCCTGCAATGCTTTTTCTTACCTTCATCCATTTGGAAAACTCCTATTCATCCTTCAAAACCAGCTCAGACTTCATCTCTATATCACCTTGACCCAACTACCTGTATGTTGTTCCTACCTATGAGTTCTCATTTTATTCTGACTCTATTGTTCACTCCACAGAGAAATACTGAGTTCCTTCTATCTGCCAGGCACTGGTCCAGGTGATGGGGAGACAGTAGGCAACAGAAGAGTTCCCTGCCTTCAGGGTGCTTACAATTTGGTGAAGAAGACAAGCAATGGTCAACATCTAAACTTGTGATGGAAGGTCAGCGCTAACCAGAAAAATAAAGCAGAGAAATAGGTGAGGTCTCTTTAGCTCAGTTCAGTTCAGTTCAGTCACTCAGTTGTGTCCGACTCTTTGAGACCCCATGAATCACAGCACGCCAGGCCTCCCTGTCCATCACCAACTCCCGGAGTTTACTCAAACTCATGTCCATCAAGTTGGTGATGCCATCCAGCCATCTCATCCTCTGTCATCCCCTTCTCCTCCTGCCCCCAATCCCTCCCAGCATCAGGGTCTTTTCCAATGACTCAACTCTTCACATGAGGTGGCCAAAGTACTGGAGTTTCAGCTTCAGCATCAGCCCTTCCAATGAACACCCAGGACTGATCTCTCTCTTTTTTTTTTTTTCTGATCTCCTTTAGGATGGACAGGCTGGATCTCCTTGCAGTTCAAGGGACTCTCAAGAGTCTTCTCCAACACCACAGTTCAAAAGCATCAATTTTTCGGTGCTCAGCTTTCCTCACAGTCCAACTCTCACATCCACACATGACCACTGGAAAAACCATAGCCTTGACCAAACGGACATTTGTTGGCAAAGTAATGTCTCTGCTTTTTAATATGCTATCTAGCTTGGTCATAACTTTCCTTCCAAGGAGAAAGCGTCTTTTAATTTCATGGCTGCAGTCACCATCTCCAGTGATTTTGTAGCCCCCAAAAATAAAGTCTGACACTGCTTCCACTGTTTCCCCATCTATTTCCCATGAAGTGATGGGAATGGATGCTATGATCTTTATTTTCTGAATGTTGAGCTTTAAGCCAACTTTTTCACTCTCCTCTTTCACTTTCATCAAAAGGCTTTTTAGTTCCTCTTCACTTTCTGCCATAAGGGTGGTGTCATCTGCATATCTGAGGTTATTGATATTTCTCCCGGCAATCTTGATTCCAGCCTGTGCTTTTTCCAGCCCAGCGTTTCTCATGATGTACTCTGCATAGAAGTTAAATAAGCAGGGTGACAATATTCAGCCTTGACTACTTCTTTTCCTATTTGGAAACAGTCTGTTGTTCCATGTCTGGTTCTAACTGTTGCTTCCTGACCTGCATACAGGTTTCTCAAGAGGCAGGTCAGGTGGTCTGATATTCCCATCTCTTTCAGAATTTTCCACAGTTTATTGTGATCCACACAGTCTTTAGCTCAGACATTTAGAAAGACCTCCTTTTGAGGCGGTGACATTTGAGCCAAACACCCAGCAAGGAGTGAAGATCTAGCTTGGCTGCTGTCTGAAGATAGAGGGAACAGCCAGGGGAGCCCCTGAGGCTGGATGTGCTCGGTCAGGGAAGGAGCAGAGAGAACACGGTGCAGGATGTTAGGAGAGGAAGGTGGACAGTGGGGATGGGGCCGCAGAGAGCATAGGACCTTTGGGTGTGGGGGGCTCTGAATTTTACTCATTGCAATAAGGACTATCGTGTATGCAGCCCTATCAAAGGCCAGGTCCTGAACCCAGCTCTTAATGGTCCCCCCTGAGGTGTGTCCTTTCTGCACAGAGGAAGAAGACAAACTCCAAGGTCAGGTTACCATCTGAGGTTAGGTTACCATCCAAGGTGAAGAGCCAAGTGTGAGTAGAGCCGCCCCCCAACCCCCGCCCCACAAGGCTCCTTGGCCTCCTTTAGTCTTCACAAGGGTCCTACCGGGGGCAGGGATTTTCGGATGAGGACAGTGAAGCTCAGTGAAGGAAACGACCTGCAGCTAAGGAATGCGGCAGCTGGGACTCTAAAGCCAGCCCATCTTAACCCCGAACCAGTTTCTCACAGACGGTCTTGGCCACCCACATCAGAAGACAGACAGGCAGGGTGATCACGGCAGCGCAGCACCTCTGAGCTGGGTTCTGGATGGGCAGGGCTCAGGGACCTACATTTGAAGGAAGGCCTCCCCTGGTCACTGTGCCCGGTTCTCCCTGTTTCCCTCCACTTCTTGTCTCCTCCCTCTAGACTGGAGGCGCCTTGAGGGCAGGCCTGGGCTGAGGATGCATTGTCATGCCCCTGGAGCCCAGCACGTATCTGGCACACAATTTCCACTCAGCACTCAGGAATTTCTGAATCTCAGCTGCAGAGCCCTCCTCTCTCCCCAGGTTCAGGGCCCCTGGCACCTACAGCAATGCAGGGGGAACTGCTGATTGGTGGGGCGGAGAAGAGGTGGCCAGGCCAGGTGAGTGACGCCAGGGATGGGAAGGGAGGCACCCCCACCTGGTGCAGGGCATCCGCCTTGTTCGTGTGCTTCTGCCGGCTTCTCTGGGCGGCCGCCCGGTTCTTCTGTTTCTTCCTCAGCTGCCTCTGATGCTCCTCAGCGTCCTGTAGGGTGAGAGACTGAGGACTCAGGGGGTCCGACAGGGGTGGGCTAGCTGTAAAGCCATTCCCTTCTCTTTTGGGGGGCGCTGTGCTGTGCGACCTGCGGGATCTTAGTTTAGCTCGGGAGTTTAGAAAGACCTTCTCCTTTGGAGGCGGTGACATTTGAGCCGAACACCCAGCCAGGAGTGAGGGTCTAGCTGGGCTGCTCTTTGAAGGTAGAGGGAGCAGCCACGTGGAGCCACCAGGGTTCAAACCCATGACCCCTAAATTGGAAGCCTGGAAACTTAACCACTGAACCACCAGGGAAGTCTTAGCCATATCCTTCTTGAATCAAGTTCCCAAGGGTCCTCTCTCCCCCAGAAGCCCTCTCTGGCTCCGTTGGTGTCCACACACCCCATCACAGACGCAGCACAACTCAGTGGAATGCCAGCCTGACACACGTACTGCTCACAGCTCATGACGGGGCAGCACAAGGCCCAGAAGGACCCGCTTCACACCTTCACTCCTCATGGACCGTGTTGCTCTGGGTAGATCACTCACTTCCCTGAGCCCTGTTGCCTGATCTGCCACAAATGGAGGCACCAGTGCCTTCCTCACCAGCTGGAAGGCAGGCAGGGGTTAATAAAAGTCGCTGTTGTCCTTTCACTACTGTTTCCACCGTCAAGGTGTTGATTTCTTTAGCCCTGAGCTCTTTCTATGAGGACAAGGGGGGGTTTCTGATTCTACTCTGTGTTTGCCTGCCCAGCTCAGGCCCAAAGGTAATATTCATTTATCCCACAAATATTTGCACACCTACTATGTGCCACGCAGTGAGCTGAGGGGACACGGCAGCAAACATAAGAGGCACTATTTCCCACCCTCAAGCTACTCACATTCTTGCGGGCCAGCAGCCTAGAATGAGTGAATGAGTCCCTTCTGACAGAAGAGCGGACGCGAAGGGGGACAGCTGTGACCCTCCCCCTACACTGGGGTTCATGAAACTTACATGAAATGGTTAACCCAAATGCCCAGGGCTCTGGAAAATCAGACAAGAGGGAATGCTGGAGACCCCACAACCCCCTCCCTCAGGTCACTCTGGGAGGTGTGTTCTGAGTGTGGGGACCTCAGGCAAGACCCTGGCCTCGCTGGCTGAGGACTCTGCAACTCCTAGGTTCACGGCCACAGCAGGCCCCTTGCAGGTGCTGGGGGCCTGAGAGACTGAAGCCTGGAGGGGAAAGACCTGCCATGAGAAGGGCTTGGGCCTCTGTACTTGGGTTCTGGACTAGAGGCAAGGCCTCCAGGGGAACCGCAGCCAGAGAGCTTGGAGAGGAACGAGGAGGCTCCTGTAACGGCAGCAAGAGGACAGGGAGGTGAGGAGAGAGCTGTCATCAGAGGCCAAGCTCTAAACTGAAGGCTGGATCTGAAATGTGAGAGCAGGAAAGCCCTCAAGTCAAACCCCTAAGGGGACAGGCCCGAGACGGGCTGTGTGAGGCCTCCGCCCCCAACCCGTGTGAACAGAGCTGGGCGCCCTGGGGCATATTCCCCTTCTTAGCCCCCAACCTGCTCCCCTGCACTCACCGTCCCGGTCAGAGGCCCGCCGCCCCCGCAGAGGTGCATGGCGGGGAGGAGGACACGGCTCACACCCGCTCAGGGCTTCCCTCAGCTGCTCTGCCCTCCCAGTGCCCTCTTGGGGCCCAAGGAAGTGGCAGCTCTTTAAATTCCCTCTGACCACTCCGCCCCCAGCAAGCCAAGTTTCAGTTTCTCCTAAAGCCACCGGCTGCTCAGAATCCCGGCTCGGCTTGGCTCACGTGGCTGGAATTTCCTAATACGAACGGGCCTTCCGGTTGGGCCCCTTCTCTGGGATGAGGACGGTGGAGGGTGGCCAGAGAGCGGGGCTGAAGGCCAGGTGTGGGGAGGCTGTTCTAGGAGAGGGCGGGCAGGCTGCCAGCCACAGAGCCAAGAGGAGAAGCCAGCGGGGCACCGAGGGCTCGCCGCGGATGTGGGAGGACCCCTGGGCTCCGCAATCCTAGGAGCCAGGGTCACAGCCCAGTTTTGGCTCGTTGGAGCTGTGCAGCTTTGAGAAGGTGATCTATCCTCTCTGAGCCTTAGTTTCCTCATCTGTTAAGGGAGATGATACAGATATCCATTCACAGGCTTGATGTAGGAACTAAGCGAGATAATACAACCACCTCCCCCAACCCTGTGAGACTAATAATGTTGAGACAAGTCTGCAAAAATAAGCAACAGCCCTTAAATAGGCGAACAGATGGCTAATGGCTGTGTTTTCATACAACAGACCACGCAGCAGTAGACAGAGTGATGTCTAGCAGTTAAGAGCACAGCTCCCAAGCTACGTGACTTGGGTGCATTATTTCACCTTTCTGTGCCTCTGTTTCCAAATCTGTAAAGTGGGGATAAAGATAATTTGGTTGCGAAGGTTACATATGTGAAGGCAGGTGAGGCATCTGAAAGCATGCCTGGTGCAGAACGAGGGCTCAACAAATATTCACAATTGTGATGCCGTGGAAGAGTCAAAGCTGCATGTATCATCATGTCTAAAAGTTCATTACATCCACTTGGATGAAAATGACAAGTGGCAACAAGACCTGAATAACACCATTTCTGTAATGTTGAATAATATGGATATGTAATTATGTAGGAAAAGTATTAAAAATATGCATGAGAATCAGAAACACAAAACTCAGAGAGTGGTGGCTTGGTGGGGGTGGAGGTGGAGAGGGACAAAAGGGGACCCACAGAGACTCCAGTGTGTCTGTGACTTATCATTGCTTCAACTGTGGGAACACAGTTTGTCTTGTGATAGTATTATTAGCTACACTCTGGGGTCCTGGAGAGGGAAAGGGCAACCCATTCCAGTATTCTTGCCTGGGAAATCCCATGGACAGAGGAGCCTGGTGGGCTACAGTCTGTGGGGTCACAAAGAGTCAGACACGACTTAGTGAGTAGACCACCACCACTACACTTTGGGGTAGTCCTAAAATGTTTCATAATAAAAACTTTTGTTAAAGACCTAAAAAGACCTGAAGCCCCAGGCAAATCTGTATGGTTGACAGAGCATGCTTGCGAGCGACAGCAATTCAGGGGATGGTGGAGCCATTAATCCCCGTCCAAGAACAGCATCATAACTGATACACAGTGAAGAGTCCTGTGATCTGCTCACCAGAGCATCTGGGGGTTGTGCCTGAGTCTCAAGGGCTCAAGGCTGATGGTGTGGGTAAATACTGTGGATTCCATCTTCTGACAGATAATGGTTTCCTGGGAGATAATGTGTTGAAGAGTTCACAGCTGTCTCTGAGCTTATTAGAAAAGAACACTGTCAGGAATTCTCTGGTGGTCCAGTGCTTTGGACACGGCACTTTTACTGCCATGGACTGGGTTCAATCCCTGGTGGGGGACCTAAGATCCCTACAAGACTCATGAGCAGCCAAAAAAGAGAAAAAGAAAAGAACACTGCAATTGATTAGCAATGTCTGCCATGCTGTAATTGATCAGTGATGCCTGTCATTAGCAGGGCATTGAGAGCAATAGGCCCCTGCTACCCACCCCAGTATTCTTGTCGGGAGAATTCTGGGACAGAGGAGCCTGGTGGGCTACAGTCCATGGGGTCACAGACAGTCAGACATGACTGAGAGACTTGGGCTTCCCCAGTAGTTCAGACAGTAAATAATCTGCCCGCAGTGCAGGAGACCTAGGTTCGATCCCTGGGTTGGGAAGATTCCCTGGAGAAGGGACTGGCTACCCACTCTAGTGTTCTTGCCTGGAGAATTCCATGGACAGAGGGGCCTGGTGGGCTGCAGTCCACTGGGTCCCAAAGAGTCAGACAGGGCTGAGCGACCAACACTTTCATAACACTTTCATGCCTAGAAGTGGGCATGAAACCTGTTTCTGCTTTAGAGTCAGACTGGACTCTGACACCTGGCACTCTCCTCACCAGGTCTAGCACCTGGGATCTCAGTATTCTCGTATATATGCTGTGGATGACCAGGAAATCATACCTGTTTACAAAGTTGATTTGAAGATGGGAAAGAATGAAATGAGAAGAGAGCTCTTTGCATATTGTGAAGTACTGTCTGGCTAGAATCCATCCCCATTCCTGAGATTTGTGGGGACACAGGAGGAATCATGCCACCTCATAATTTTAAATGCCTGGGTATACATGGGATTGGGCATGACAGCTGGGCCTGGCCCTCCTTGTGTGTGAAGGGCCTGGAGGAGGAGGCTAAAGTGTGGGCACCCCATGCAATGAGGCTGCCCCTAACTACTCTGAATTATTTCTGTTTCCCAGAAACCAGGAGGGCTGAGGCCTCTTGCCTAAGGCGGGCACCTGAGGGGCTCATTAGGCCACAAGCTCCTCAGGGAAGGATCCGGGGGAGTCACATGCATGATGTAACCAAGGAAAAAACACCTGGAGTTGGGGAGGGAGGGGTGAGTAGGGCTAGGGCCCAAGTATCCCCACCTCAAGCTCCTGGCCCCAGACGTGGACCTGTCTCAAGACTTTGGCTTCCGGCAGAAGGGAGACAGCAAGTGTTCCTGTGACCCCTCTCAGAAGGCCACAGCCCCAGAGGAAAGTCAAAGAAGGCAGGATTTATGGCTTGATGTCCCCGAGGAGTGGCAGGGAGGGAGGGACACAGAGTGGGTAATGTTTAACTGTGAATGGCCATGCCTGGCTGGCAGAGCAGGCTTCAGGGCCACCCAGTCCAACTTCTTACTTAGAAGGTGAGGAACTAATGCCCAGAGAGGCAAGGTCATCTGGGGGAAAGGGGTGGAGCTGGAGGGAGGACACACCACTTTCCTCCAAGCCCTTAGTCTTTCTCCACACCCAGCATGGAAGGCCCCAGTCCAAGAGTCCCAAGACTGGAGCACCTCCATGGGTTAAGGCTTGGAGGCCTCCCCAAACCAGAGTGACAGAGTGAGCTCCTGGGCAGCAAGATCACTGCCTGTCTTATTCTCTGAAGCATCTCCAGCACCTCAAACACTGCCTCCATGTAACGCTGTCGCTGTTCAGCCACTCAGTCATGTCCGACTCTACGACCCCATGGTCTGCAGCACACCAGGCTTCCCTGTCCTTCACCATCTCCTGGAGCTTGCTCAAACTCATGTCCATAAAGTCGATGATGCCATCCAATCATCTCATCCTCTGTTGCCGTCTTCTTCTCCTGCTCTCAGTCTTTCCCAGCATCAGGGTCTTTTCCAATGAGTCAGCTCTTTGCATCAAGTGGCCAAAGTATTGGAGCTTTAACTTCAGCATCAGTCCTTCCAATGAGTATTCAGGGCCGATTTCCTTTAGGATTGACTGGTTTGCACTTGACTAATGAACACATGAGTGAAAGTCCGGCAGGCGGGCATCTTGCCATCAGGGAACCCCACCAACTTCCTGGATGAGTAAAATACTTTCACTTTCCTCATTCCTAGGTTCCTGGGGGACTCTCCCTAACCAACTTCTTCATTCTTAGCGGGGAAACTAAGGTGCCAGGAGGGGACAGTCACACAGCTGGTTGGGAGAGGACAAGATACATTGATTACCTTGTCCCAATTCCCTCCCACACCTCCTAAAGTGAGAGAGATGCCCAGGGTCTTCAGTCACCCAGGGAAGAGGACCCCTCTTTCTAGGTCCCATCCATGTGCACCCCTCAGTTGAGGCCTGGCCTCTCCAGGGCACCTTGAGCGAGTTTCAGACGATGGTGAGGAGAGAAAGAGGCCAGGTGCCAGCTGGTGGGGTTGAGGCTGGCTGTCGACATCCTGCCATGAGCATGGATGGGCCCTCGTGGAAGCTAAGCCTCAGCTGGGAAGGGTTCACAATCAAATGGGGTATAGGACGCATGCCCAGCATATTGATGGGCAGGGTAGGAGGGTGACAGCCTGCCTCTGTGAGGGTGTCTGTGGCAGGCAGAGAGCACTTCCTGTTGGGGAGATCAGAGGCTTTCCAGAGAAAGTGGACACTGTCTTTGGGACATTGAAGAACGGGGAGAGGGACTTGACCCAGGGCCTGGAACCTGAGCTCAAGCAAGTCATTTAACTAACGGGACTTCCCTGGTGGCCCACTGGTTAAGAATCTGCCTGGCAATGCTGGGCATGTGGGTTCAACTCCTGGTCGGGGAACTAAGATCTTACATACCGCAGGGCAACTAAACCTACGAGCTCAACTACTGAGCCTATACACCGCAACAAAGATCCTGCATGCCACCACTGAGACCCAATGTAGCCAAATAAATAAATAAACATTTTTAATTACAAAAAACCAAACTAACCTGTTTCTGGCTTATTGTAAAATGGGGGGTAATAACACAAGTATCTAGAAGTAATACATGTGAAGTGCTTAGAACACTGCCTGGCACACAGTAAGTCCCATAAATATCTTTAAAGCTTTTAACAGATGCACTTAATAAAAAGCTGATGAATTTTTGTTCACATAGCACAGGCCTGTATTTTTTTTCATTATTATTTTTATTATTATTATTAATTTTAAGGAAAAAAATGGCAGAGTGCAAGATCAGGCATGAGTTTTTTTTTATTCTAATGAAATTCATTTATGAAAAGAGAGTTAATGATTGTGTCCATATGTAAAGAGCAGCACATAATATTTGATGAAAACTGCT